AAGCTGTTCTATATGCACCCAGAAATGTGTGTCTGTGACAAGAAAATACAAGCTTTTTTAGTTTTTTGAACTGTATACTGTAAACCTCTGAATATAATGCTCACCTCATTCCAAATATAAGCCCCCCCCCCAAATATAAGCCCCCTGAATACAAGTACCCTGAGTATAAGCCCCTTGAATATAAGCCCAGTATCCCACTATGTTATTTAACATTGACATTGTCTTTTAATATAGCAGAGAACGATATTTGAAACACTGTCATTGTCTTTATAGCTTACTATGTTAATGGAGTGTGTTATTAATACATGTTTATTTTCTTGTTTATGACTGACTTGTTTATTACTAACACAATTGATCGTCTATGTATAAGGCCCCTGTGCATATAAGCCCCCCCCCCCCTAAGCCCATCAAAAATCACTTACAAAAGAATATAAGCCCAGGGCTTATAGTCAGAGGTTTACGGTATTATATATCCCATATTTTAACAATAAACACATTATTTTTTATATTATATTACATTAACATATATACATGGATCACATATAAAGTCTTTAAATGACAGTACATTGTGTTTGTAATTATAATTACCATAATTACTTGTGTCGAAAGTAAGAAATGAAGTGAACAAATCCATATATATTTGTTGAAAATTTGTTGGCTGTGGGTATCTTCCATTTGTTCTTCATGCTTAACACTGTGTTTCTTTGAACATTTAATCAGCAACTAATTATAGGCAAGGATATATTTACTAGCTCATTTCTCCATATTACCAGGTACATAACATGCAAATTATACATCAACCTTGCAATCCAGGCTTTAACCCCTGCAGTTGCCCCTCTCCTGCAGCATGTTTGGGAAGGGAGAGGAAGGAATAGAGGTACTGTAATTTCTATATTTAGCCCCCTTCTCTTCAAGCCTCTCTCCAATAACCCCCCCCCTCATTTGGATACAAAAATCAAAAATAAATAAGCCCCCTTCCTCTTTTTACCATGCAGCCCTCATTCAATTTCTTAAAATCATGAAATATATTGCATTTCTGCAGTATTTTAATAAAATATAGTACAACGGTAACTCTGAATATGGACATTTTTTAATGGTAACCAGACTTATTGCATATATTTAGAACAAGTGCCCCCTCATTGATGCTTAGGAAACAATAATACACAGGAGGCTTGATAGTTGATACAGAAATTAAAGTAGTTATTTGATTGAAACTGGCAGCTATTTCAATTCTACTGTATCTCCTTTTATATATAATTGGATTAATTGCCAATATATTCACATAGTATAATAGTTTGGAAATGGGATCAATACTTGTATATTTTTAGCAAATGAGCATTGTTATTGATCAACAATGACTCTTATTGCTATAAACAACATATATTGTTTCACATAGCAACAGACAAGGAAACATCTGTATTTAAATTCACTACTTTTTTTTATCCAGAAACAAATTGATGTAAAAATTGTTTCAGGTTTGGCTTAGTTATAGCCTTACCCTGTCGAGGATCCCTGGAATTCTTCAGGGGTAAAGCCGGTTTTGAGCTTGGAATTCTTCAGGGGTAAAGTGTTTTGAGCTTGAAATTCTTCAGGGGTAAAGGGTTTTGAGCTTGGAATTCTTCAGGGATAAAGGGTTTTGAGCATGGAATTTTGAAATTCTTTGAACAGGAGTAAAAGGTTTTGAGCTTGGAATTCTTCAGGGGTAAAGGGTTTTGAGCTTGGAATTTTGGAATTCTTCAGGGGTAAAAGGTTTTGAGTTTGAAGTTCTTCAGGGGCCGGTTGTTCAAACTTGGATTGGTGCTAACCCTGGGTTAAAATTTAACCTGTGTTTTAGTTTATGTATTTCTGCACGTCTGTTTATTTCAAAACTTCAGAGAAGTAAAATTCTATCGATCCAGACAAGATCTCTGAAGAAACATTTCCAAATTTATAGACAAGCTGTCAGGAAGTTTGCTTTGAATTTTAGGTTAACCTAGGGTTAAGCTAACCCAGTTTTGAACAACCGGCCCCAGGGGTATAATCATGAAAAACATGTATCCTCGACAGGGGGTGTACGGATATTAAATGGAATAGCCCATCATGCTGTCAAGTGGCAATCACGTACAAAGCAACTCTATAACCAAATGTTTTACAACCTGAGGAACTTCTTAAATCAATTATTCTATAATTTATACAGATGCTACAAAAACACCTGGCATCTTAAATTTATATAGATAACTCCATTTACAAAAGCACAAAGACCACAGAGATCGGAAGAGCTACACATGTTGAGTGTTGACCATTGACCATAATGTACTGTATTGTTTAAAGCTTCAAGTTTTTAACACAAGCAAAAGCTGTCACTCCAAAGTCCTGGCAACAATATGTCAATTTAACAAAACGACAACGTGTGCGACTGTGCGATGATTTCATTTAGCCAATTGGGCCCAATTCTTTCATGGTTATAAATAATGAATATACTCGTACTGTAGATCGTTAAAAAGTCATTCATAAATACCATGCCATTTTGTAAGTATATACCCAACGTCCCAATACTTTTTCATACGATTAATATCATATCCTTCGATTTATATCGTTTGATTTTGCATTCCAAATCTGATAAACATTGATAATTCTCTCTTCGCGTATGTCCACGCGTAATTCTCGCAAAAAAACACGCATTAATTGTGTCGGCAGCATTGATGATCACGGCAGCCAATCAAATAACGATTTCGATTCGATTTCCCCAGAGTCATGCCACAACCTAACCCGCGAACAGGCATACTCTGGGAACGAGATTGGGTTTATTCCGCCATATTGCCGGGGGTGCAAAACATTGGGGCGAGCGCGCGGCCAGTCATGGTTTCCCATACAAATTACTAGTGAGTGAGCGATAATTTTGTATGGACATTTTATTGATTTTCTCATGCTATATTAAAATAGAGTCCAAATTTTTATATTCTGGCTGATCTGTGTGTATTTTCAAACTACTGGTAAAGATTTCAATGGAATCTGATTGGGGAAAATCCGTGAATATGCTGATTTCTTCGACACCTTTCGGCGAGCTATTTACAGTGGGTTCACGACAACGAAACGCCGAAAACAGGGCTTTTTCGTCTCTGTTTGTTTAAACAAAACAACAATACAAAAGAATCATGTTTAAAAACAATACAACAAAGCCGTCGGGAAAGAAGAAAGACGTCCAGGTGCGAGAGTGTAACCTGATACCAATGTCAATCTCACCTTTAATATCGAATCCAAAGGGTATATATTCAGAGATATTGAGTTTGAGTTGTTGATATCTTATGTTCTCATAGGAGGATTATATTGCAAATGGATTATATTACGAGGATTTCGTTGGGCTGTGGGTTGACAGAGTGGGAAAAAGGTTGACCTTGTGGCAAGAGCATTTATTAAAGCATATGAATTGGGTGCTTCAAAGAAATTTACAAGGAACAAATTTTTGATAGATTAATTAAGAAGGAATACCAACAATGGCTACAAACTAATTATATTATTAAGTGCGAGGCTAGCACTCTGTGCAATGAATATTGGAAAGATGACATTCAAAAACATGGCCACATCTTGATGATGGAATGCTATACATTCTACGAGTAAAGGCAGTGGATGTTGAATATATTGGCAAATACAAAGATGAGAGGGCCTACTCATATTGGATGAGCGGATTTGTTGATATAATTCATGTCGCTAAATGCCCCATTGACAAGACCATGACATTTTTTTGTAAATTCAGTATGTCCATCACAAAGGATGACTCACATATAAAAGTGTGGATGTGTGTCCTTGAACAGCTGGAACAGTTGAGCATGTAATCATGTACTTGCAGTCTTCAATGTATTAAATAAATTATGCTTACTGCTTACAACATGTCAACAAGCAATATATTTCCCCTGCCTGTGTGCCTGTATCAGTGTTCCCCAAGGATAGAACAAAGAAACTTGAAAAGAAGTAAATCCAAGCATGCAAGGTTAAAAATTTAATATTTAGACCAAAACTCTGGCTGCAATTAAACAGTGAGGGAAGAATTTGACCCCAGAAAACCTGGGGACAGAAATATTACCAATGAAAGAGTTTCTTTATTATTTATTGACTTAGTTTTAATTTTTCTCCCCTATGTACAGTTCCATAGACAATATTTACATATTTTTCCTTATATTAATTTTGGCTAAAGACCTATTAGTTACTTTGTTAGGCTTTTTGTTTAGGCCCCTAGTAAAGGTTTATAGTTAACTGTTAGATTTATAATATTTTATTTTATTTTACAGTCAAATCAGAGAGAGCATTTTCAGAGTAATAGAGGAACAATAATATGCAAATAGAATAATATGCAAATAGAATGTTTTCATAAAAAAATGCTGCTGAATTTGTTTTTTGAAGATGTATTGAGAGTTTATGTCTTTATTTTTTATTCTAGTGAGTTCAATACATCAACTCCATTATTAGAGAGAATATGTTTTACATAATTTGTTCTTTTATACCACTTGTGAAGTTTTGATGAGTTTCTTGAGCTATTTTGATGAATTTGATTGATAGTCACAAACATTTATCAAATACTTCAGGCAGGTTTTTAAGATTATTGAACTGCATTGTAGATACTGTTCCTTCTATTTGTGTTTTGCTCTCAGTTGGTTATGGGGGTAGTACTGCCAATGAGAACAACTGAAACTCTCAATATCTCTCAATATTATATACCCTTTGGATTCGCCTACTTTTAGAATTTATCTCTTATATCTAATAATTACTAATAGTATGTCATATAATCAAAGGTGAGATTGACATTGGTATCAGGTTACATTCTCGCACCTGGACGTCTTTCTTCTTTCCCGACGGCTTTGTTGTATTGTTTTTAAACACGATTCTTTTGTAATGTTGTTTTGTTTAAACAAACACAGACGTAAAAGCCCTGTTTTCGGCGTTTCGTTGTCGTGAACCCACTGTAAACAGCTCGCCGAAAGGTGTCGAAGAAATCAGCATATTCACGGATTTCCCCCAATCAGATTCCATTGAAATCTTTACCAGTAGTTTCAAAATACGCACAGATCAGCCAGAATACAAGAATTTGGACTCTCTTTTAATATAGCATGAGAAAATCAATAAAATGTCCATACAAAATTATCGCTCACTCACTAGTAATTTGTATGGGAAA